TCTGTGTTAGTGTTTGTATTATTGAGTGTGTGTGAGTTTGTGTTTGTATGTGTGTGTGTCTGTGTTTTAGTGTGTGTTAATATGCGTTTAGTGTGTATTAATGCATGTTTAGTGTGTGTGTGTGTGTGTGTGTGTGTTATTGAGTGTGTTTGTGAGTGTGTGAGTGTGTGTGTATAAGCTTGTGTTTGTATGTGTTTGTATGTCTGTGTGTTAGTGTGTGTTAATGCATGTTTAGTTAGTGTGTGTGTTAGTGTGTGTGAGCTTAAGCCACAACCACACGTGCAGCAGGTGTGTGAATATTTCCTGATGTTGCGTAACATCATTTTTCACACACCACCGCTGGCGCTGTCAAAAACATGTGTGTGTTTTCTTCACTTGATGTGTGTTGCGTTCACACTGGCACCTCATTGGTTATGGGCGGAGTTTGCTGTAGATCTGATCTTTATTTGGTATTTTTGTAACGCGTCTGGACTGAAGAGTGTTTGCTTACACACGTTTATAAAGGTCACGCCTGTGCTAAGCATGTGACCTGTGTGTGTGTGAGAGGGAGAGAGAGAGAGAGCAACTAATCCACTGTCATTAAAAAGACTATATATACATCCAAGGGCCACTTTATTAGGTACACCTTGCTAGTACCGTGTTGGACCCCTTTTGTTTTCAGAACTGCTTTAATCCTTCGTGTCAGAGATTCAACAAGCTGCTGGAAATATTCCTCAGAGATTTTGCTCCATATTGTCATGACAGCATCACACAGTTGCTGCAGATTTGTCGGCTGCACATCCATGATGCCAATCTCCCGTTCCACCACATCCCAAAGCTGCTCTATTGGATTGAGCTCTGGTGACTGTGGAGGCCATTTGAGTACAGTGAACTCATCGTCATGTTCAAGAAACCAGTCTAAGATGATTGAGCTTTGTGACATGCTGCGTTATCCTGCTGGAAGTAGCCATCAGAAGATGGAGACACTGTGCTCATAAAGGGATGGACATGGTCAGCAGCAATACTCAGGTAGGCTGTGGCGTTGACACCATGCTCGATTGGTACTAATGAACCCAAAGTGTGCCAAGAAAATCTCCCCCACACCATTACACCACCACCAACCAGCCTGAACCGCTGATACAAGGCAGGATGGATCCATGCTTTCATGTTGTTGAGGCCAAATTCTGACCCGAGCATCCGAATGTGTCAGCAGAAATGGAGACTCATCAGAGCAGCAACGTTTCTCCAATCTTCTATTGTCCAGTTTTGGTGAGTCTGTGTGAATTGTAGCCTCAGTTTCCTGTTCTTAGCTGACAGGAGCGGCACCCGGTGTGCTCTTCTGCTGCTGTAGCCCATCCGCCTCAAGGTTGGCCGTGTTGTGTGTTCAGAGATGCTCTTCTGCAGAGCTCAGTTGTAACGAGTGCTTATTTGAGTTACTGTTGCCTTTCTATCAGCTGGAACCAGTCTGGCCATTCTCCTCTAGCATCAACAAGGCATTTGCGCCCACAGAACTGCCGCTCACTGGATATTTCCTCTTTGTCGGAGCATTCTCTGTAAAGCCAAGAGATGGTTTTGCGTGAAAATCCCAGTAGATCAGCAGTTTCTGAAATACTCAGAGCAGCCCGTCTGGCAGTAACAACCATGCCACGTTCAAAGACACTTAAATCCCCTTTCTTCCCCATTCTGATGCTCGCTTTGAACAAGACCCAAGGCATTTAACGCTATTTGATTGATTTTATTTAGAAAATTATTTATCTTTTTATCTTTATTATTATTATTATAAACACTTTTCAAATACAATAATAATGATATTAATATTAGTCATTTATTAATTCATTCATTTTCATTTCAACTTAGTCCCTTTATTAATCAGGGGTCGCCACAGCAGAATGAACCGCCAACTATTCCAGCAAATGTTTTAGGCAGCGGATGCCCTTCCAACTGCAACCCAGTACTGGGAAACACCCATACCCACACACACACACTACGGCCAATTTAATCAATTCCCCTATAGCGCATGTGTTTGGACTGTGGGGGAAACTGGAGCACCTGGAGTGAACCCATGCCAACACGGGGAGAACATGTAAACCTTACATAGAAATACCAACTGACCCAGTCGTGACTCGAAGCAGTGACCTTCTTGCTGTGAGGTTACAGTGCTAACCACTGCGCCACCGCACCGCAATACTATTAATTCATAATATTAATTCAACTCCAGTCTTTGTTTTCAGATTACACATGTAGTTGAGTTTGTGTGTTGTTAAGGTCAGAGAGCGTCTAAGAGGAGAGCAGCAGCTGCTGTGAGTGAGTCAGACATGATGAAGTGTCCACATCTGCTGCTCACTCTGTTTACATGCTGTGTGTTATTGTGCAGCTGCATTATTAATGATGCCATTCACTTCTGAATGTGAGGGATTTCCACTGACGTTTGTGCATCAGTGTGTGTGTGTGTGTGTACTTGTAATTTTCACACACTTCAACACAAGTGAGGCGTCATGGAGGTTTTATTTATTTACAATATGATGTGTGAGTGAAATGAAGTCAGTCTGGAGCTCTGTGTGCGTGTGTGTGTGTGTGTGTGCACGCGTGTGCGTGCGTGCGTGCGTGTGTGTGTGTGTGTGTGCACGCGTGTGCGTGCGTGCGTGCCTGTGTGTGTGTGTGTGCGCGTGCGCGTGTGTGTGCGCGTGTTTGTGTGTAAACGCACGTGTGTGTCTGCGTGTGTGTGTGTGTGTGTGTGTGTGTGTGTGTGTGTGTGTGTGTGTGTGTGTGTAAGTCTGTCTGTGTGTCTCCCTGTGTTAGTGTG